ACATTGCATTGACAAAGGTGTTTGCCCTTGTTTAACAAGTCCTTCCCTATTTCTATATTTTAAATTTGGAGAACAGGCTTGGCTCGAACAGACTACCTTCTGTGCTTGTTTCTATACATTACCACGTTCCTTCAGGGTAGTGCACAGGCCAAGTTGTTTTCTAGTTGCATCAAACATTCTCAATGTAAATAGACTTTATCTAGGAACCTGGGAAGATGGGTAAGAATTACTGCCCATGGGGACCAAATCCTGGCTCTTTATGTTTGGCTGAGTGAATGCTCTCTTTCTTAACCTTTACGCTGATTTTATTTAAAAATTTTCTTGGTCTCTATTACTGAATGAACTATGCCAGTATCAGCTGGGAAGGAAAAGTAGGAAGCCACAGGAGGCGCCTTCTGATCTCCCATCAGCCCATCACCTGCAAACTGCAACCCTAACAAGGTCACAGGCTGCTGACCTGGTGAAGGAAAGACCCTGTGCTGTGGAGAGCTGAGGACTCTGGCTGGGCTGCCAGCCCTGGGGCTGGGGAGGTGGCAAGTGTTCTGATGGATGATGGATCTGGTCCTACAGTCACCCATTCTCTCTGACTGGGAGGTGATTTCATTAGTGACTTTATCGTTGAAATCAAGACAGGGAACTTGTTGAAGCTAAGGGAGGTTCAAGCTTGGGTAAGAATCTAGGATTTCTGTCACTTTTACTGCAGAAGTGCCACAGACTGAGGGTTTCAGTTCACTCATTGTGTGTGCCTGGCTTGCCATGTTAACCCACATTGCTACCACTGCTGGCTCACAGCGCCAGAGGCTCAGAAGTAGAGTGCCATGGTTGACACTCATACAATTAGCCGCCCCCACGCCCGACTGGACCCTGCCCTGTGCAAAGCCCTGAAAGCCATCCCTGATGGTCAGTCCCAACAGGGCCCACCAGAGCACCTTGGGGGGGCCCGTTCGTTACCCCTATTAGCCATTTAGGTTGAGTTTCTAGCTCTACTAAGTTTCGCCTTCTCAGTCATACAATATTGATCTGACTTTCAGGAGCAGAGGGGAAGTGAGGGGCCGGGAAAACTCAATTCAGTGTACTAGTCTCTGTTTTTAAGCACTTCTTCTAAGGGTTCATGTAGAGAAGGGCAGAGCAATATAGGGCCATCCAACCGCAAGCATACGGCCTTATCCATGGGTTGAAAACATGTCTCCATTAATGACAACAATCCCCAATGTCACAAATGTCACTGAAGACTCGAACTAGGAAGGTGATAGTTTACTAACTTCTGGGCAAGTCCTCATCCCTTTCTGTCAGCTCACTCTCCAGTTCTTGGAGAGCACAGACTTAACAGGTGACCCACCTTATCCTTACCTTTCACAGAACAGCTGGCACTTCCAAGTGAGACTTACCGGGTAACAACCTGCCTTAAAACACAACAGGCCACATGCTGACCTCACCGTAACATTGCCCAACCATGAGTTCCTCAGTCTGCCCAGAGAAAGTATTGTCTTTAGAACAGAAAGAAAATATAAGCAATGAAACAGTTGGTTATACATTATAGATTATAAGAAATGAAAATACCGAGTGCATTTTAAATGATTAATGTATGAAAACTGTCATCACTTACTGTGCATTAATCAAGAAAAAATGCACGTTTCTCACAGAGGTTAATGTTGCAGGCCCACTGTTCAGCGTTGATAATGGGCACAATAATGCTCAATATGACAATGAGTTGGGGTAGCTGAAAATTTAGGATGGTTTCAAGTTTCATGTAGTATTTGGATTAGCATCTTAATCGGGCCTTGTCAGCCTCATCAGGTCACAAGCTACATCGTTTTTTGTTTGTTTGCTTGTTTGTCTTTTCCAAAACTAGCAAAAATATCGATGCATTTTAAAAAAGCTTTTCCATTTTTTTAAAATAAATAATGAGCAAGGTACCTGCTTAAACAAATACTACTAGCCTCCATTGTTAGGATGGTTACATGTAAAAGACATGATGCCAGATAGTAACAAATCCAAGAGAAGTTTATTATGAAAATGGCACCTGCAGATGAAAAAAATTAAGTTACATAAAGACAACCATGTATGTGACATGTATGAGAATCTACAAAAGTATAAAAAGAACCCTGTTGTAAATGAAGTATGTACATTCTGATTTGCAGCATCATCAATGGTCAATGAAAAAAAAATGTTTCAAAATAAGCCAGGCACTCAGGAAGTTAAGTCCGGTTAGCTCCACACAAAACAAATGTACCATCGCTGTCACTTTGTAATGTTTTAATTATTTTTATATATATATTGTAGAGCTGGTAACACTGCTACGAGTTTTCGAACAGAATATCCTTTCCCCATTCAGCTACGTGGCACCAGTGTCCTCATAAAAGTTTTCATATATTTGTACAAGAAATAGTTAAAAACACAGACACAGTCTTCACAGGTAATGAAGTGTTTTTTTTTTTTTTCATTTTGTAATTTTAAACACTATGGATTTAGACAGCAGCTGTGATTATCTGTTAGTTAAATCACCAGAGATCATTCTGACACAACACAGAAAGACTTATAAAAGAAAGAAAGAAAGAGAGAAGAAAACAGCTGTCCAGCCGTTCTTTGTAGCTGATAGGTGCGTTCCTTTGATTGTTCCATAGCTAGAGTACAGCTTCCAAAATGAATCTTTAAATCGCTCCCCCAGCCATCATCTTCTAAACTCACTTAAATCCTGTAAGGACGCTCAGTACTAAGATTTGTGGCACTTAACTCCCTTCTGCGATTATTCCAGCATGGCGTGGGCCCAACTCATGGAATCAAAAGTTCTAGAGGAATCCACTCAACACAGTGATATTCAAAGGACAGCCGAGTCACTATTTTAGCATTGCACGAATAAACAAATATATATGACAATTCTATATTCCATTAACCCCTCCCCTTTTGTTTTTTAAAAACGTTGGTTGACCTTTGAAATAATTTTCTGTCTCACTGGTAACTGCTTTATATATTGCTCCATCAGCCAACCTGAAAGGAAACCAAAGAAAAGCACCCACTGCTTATAGGTAGAGCACAAGGGACTCTGGGAATGTTAACAACTGAGGCTGTATGGCATCGATTTATTTAATATATCTGAACATTATTCTTCAGTGCTTTGTGTCGCACTCCAGAAGAAAGAGTCATACCCAGAATTCCGTTGTGGAAAAAATGGCTCCATTAACCTTGAGCTAGTTAAGAGTCTTTTTATCTCTGAGAATGAAAAAGCTTTGGGGCACCGGGGAAGGAAAGCAGAGGAGGGGAGGGGGGACGCAGGAAAGGGAGGGAAAGAAAGGACAGTCAGGGAGCATATACACCAGCAAGACAACAGCGGGGATTTTAAAAGTAAAACAGAGGATCCACAAACAGTTAGAAGCAGTATAGGGTGACGTTACAGAGGAAGGCCACCACACAAAAACCACTAACCCCCAAGAATCACTGATTTACTAGGACTGCGGGAATGAGACCATACCACTCCGGACTAGAGACAGAGCACAGAGAGGACCAAGGATAAAGCAACTACATTCGCTTAGTATATACTGCATATAGAAACACACATTGAAACTGCGATGGGACCGACAGCCAAGGACACTACACGTTGTACACATTACAGTTCGCACACCTGGTATTAGATGCCTCAACAAACAGCTGCCGAAAACGAAGTGGGAGAATTTATATCGACAGTCACGTGGAGTGCTCAACACCACACTGATTTCTGGCAACAAAGACAAAATAGGCTATTTTTTCTTTTTCTTTTTCTGTTTTTTCTTTTTTTGTTTAATGTGCAGTTGTCAGTTGCAGTTATGTGTCTGAAGCGTATTCACCCATTCTTTAGTTTTAAAACTTACTGGTTTCAGCACAGAAATAAGAACCAAAGAGAAATAAATTCCACCAAATCAGTCCCTCCAAATACAACCTAATTTTTTTTTAACAAGAAATGGAAAAAAAAAAAACCCAGCCAAAAACATGTTAAATATTTTTCCTTCTTTTACTCTGAAGTGTTATTGAAGTTGCAAAATTAGCCTCAGTTAGACTGAGCAAGGAAAAAAAAAAAAAAAAAGCAGCTCGACAAAACACAGTATGAGCCTAAACTGCTCCTCAGACCAGTTGGATTGAGTTTTCCAAAAGCCCCTTTTTAATAGGGCTTTGCTGACCCATTAAATTGAAAGTGAGGCTATGTTTGTTAGTTGGGAGGTAAAAAATTTTAAGTTCTGCAGCAAACGTTAATGAGGGCTTTGTCTTAACTAACCAAGGAGACTGTAGCAACGGACTCCAGACCAGGACAGAACACATTGCTTTCCAAACCCAGCCCGGGAGCTGCGTTCTGTATAATATGAAGACATTACAGATTAATAAATGATAGCACCATGGTTTTAGAAATTAAGTTAATGTTTCAGTAATTAACACTTAGTCCAACTTTTTTTTTTAAACATTCTAGTCACAGGCCAGAAATTAAGTTTAAGAACCCAAATTATTTTTATGTGCAAGTAAGAAAATCTTAAAATCTTAAGCATAAAAAGAATTAAATTCTGCATAAAATTCTAAAATACTATTCCCCTATTTTCAAAGGAATTAGGAACAGGAAAACAGAAACCACCCACCCCATTTCATTTGACTTAGTCAAACAGGGCTCACCGTTTACGCTTGTACCTTTCCATCTTGATCAGATCAAGATCTTTAAGGAGAAAACCCAAGGGTTGTCGCTTGAGAGATCTCCTGACCGCAAGACCGAGTACTCTATGACAGAGGCATAGACACACCGAGAGACATCTCACTAAAAGGAAGGAAAGCCCAACGACCCAACACACACCTCAGAAGACAAACCGGCAGGCATCCGGCCATCGACCCTCTGAAGGCAAAAAATAAACACGTCTTTACGAGAAAATAAGTCACGTCAGAGAAAGAGGGGGTGGACCGGGCCGCCCCGCGGAGGAGACGCCGACCTGCTGGAATTCAAAGTGCTAGGTTAAAGGTCCGGCCGAGGTGATGCCCCGGCCGGGCGCTCAGTCCTCCTTGCGCTCCAGAGTCTGTGCCGCGTGGATGCCGTTGCTGTAGACCGGGAAGGGCAGCGTGGAGAACAGTCCCTCGGCCGCCGAGAACACGTTCCCGCCCGGCACCTGCGCCAGGCCCGCCGCGCCGCCCGCGCCGCCGAACGGTCCGGACATGTTGAGCCGGTGCACGTGGTGGTAGAGCATCTCCATCGGGGTCTTGGGGTCCAGGCCGAAGCCGGGGCCGTTGACGTCCACGAAGTTGACGGCGTGCGCGTTGGGCAGCAGGTTGCCCTGCATGGCCAGGGTCACCTCGGCGGGCGCGTAGCGGATGGTGCCGGTGGTGTAGACCCGCTGCGCGCTGCTCGTGGCCGCCAGGGTCCCGGTCACGCGGTGCACCAGGGGCAGCACCACGTTGCCCGCCTGCAGCCGCTGCAGGGCCTCCAGGTCCCCCGAGTACAGCACCGA